ATATATATATATATATATATATATATATTCTAGGGGTCGTATTTCCTCCTATTAGTTAATACAATACATAGCTAGATACTGAAGTTTTACCAACGGTTTGTTATAAAGTTTGTAATGTCTTGTCTGTAATTTATTATCTATATTACTAACATTGTCTTATTTAAATACTTCACACTTTACAGTGCTTTTACAAATTCTCGGATTTGATCAACTAAATGGCAGCTGACAAGAGAAGTAAAATAAAAGTTAATATCTGTCTATCTAATTTGTTATTGTTAATTTGTTATGTTACTTTGCATGTAATGTTTTTGGTAAAAGAAATGAAGACAACATGTAATACTCACCTTCCTTTATTGATTCATTAATTTTTAGAAAAAATTATTCATTAGAAATTCTGATTTTTTTTATACAAAAGACGTATAGTTTATTGAAAGCTGGCCAAATATCGTGAAGATACATAAATCATATCGTATCCGACGATGTATCGATACAGTTGTATCAAGGCTTCACGATACAATACTGGTATCGTATCGCCACATCTTTAATATATTCCTGTGTCTACGTAAACTTCTTGTACTTGATGATGATAAAATCTTGTGTATTTCTCAAAGTGGGTTCCTCAACATCAACTTTAATAACTTCTGTTGTACACAAAAGTTAATTGTTGCAATAACAAAGATACTTAATATAAGTGTTGGAGAACTTTGGAATATTAATTTATTTATCCCCAGCAAGAAGAAGAATGAGCTAGTTTTGTTTAATACAATGTTTACTGTTAAGAATACGTTAAAACTCTTTTGAGATTACATAGTAATCGAAATAAATCGCCAATACAAAAAAAAAAGATAAAGTAAAAGAAGATTAGTTCTAAAAATACCTCTGTGACTAGTCGGTTCAATCTTTCTTTCGGCAACTACAGGTAGACGAACGTAGTACCTATATCTACACTTACTAATTAATGGTCAAGTATAGTCTGGGTCTCGGATCATAAACAAATACTATCTAGTATTAATACCTTTCAAAGTTAAATTCAGCCTTTTAACTACATTACACTTTGTGCATATGAATAATTTAAGTTATTTTAAAAATTATATACTTAATATTTTTTTTACTTCTTTTGTAACTTTTGTTGAAACTACAAGAAGTAGGCCTAAGTTTATAATGTGTAGGCTCTTGTGCAATCATAGCATTGACTTCTAATGTGTTGAAGTATCACTTTACAAACCCCAAACATATATGTAGGATACTCTTATACAGTATGTAGACATTTCTAAATGTATAAAAATAAAGTTTATATAATTTTCAATAAGCTCTCTCTTTTGTTTTTTTTGTAATTCAACCCAGTAGGGGTTAGGGGACAACATTTTCACCTTCTAAGCTGTCTGATGTAAGGTGATGCGTCACAAGCATAGTTATATATTATCACTGGTCACTAGGGGCGAAAACAACCTTAACAGTGAAGATATTAAGCTGGTGAAACGCAACAGAGTGGTTGTAAAAAAATCCTTTTGTAGTTTGTCTGTTGTTCATAGTTAAGACTATTTAAACAGTTCTTCTGGTAGGAGTTATTACATAATCGTCATCAAGTTTAGAGCCTTATAACGTATCCAACACTGCTTATGGTATGGAGCGCGGTATAAGGTGACAATAAATTATGCGACTTTATTGTTTAAGGCGGGATAATTCCTTTTTCAATAGTAGCCTAACGCATTTGGTGATTTTGAAAACTTTGATCTAAATAGGAATATATGTGGTGGAGAGTTCGTATTACGTTCGATTCGAATATGCTTTTTATCAAAATAAACATTTTTGTTTCGACACCTTGCCTGTAGCGTGTAAAGTATTTTTACCCATAAAGAATAATGCGTTCGGAATGTCGTTGATAGTTTTGCGCTTATTTTCGGTTTTTATTCTGGGATAGATAAATACTCTTGTGATAAAATTAAATGGTGAACTTCAACACTTGTTAAACAACAAAAAAGGAAAACGAAATCTTACCGTAGTATAGCATGAAATTCTATGGTGCCAGAGTCCTGTCAAATTTGTCAGACGTGTGACGTCACCACTAGGTCAGAGATCTCATATTCAAAACCTGATTTTTATTTTTGTAGGAGCACGTACTTACATTAGTAATAAATTGAAAAAGCACACTACATACACACATATATTTCAAAGAGAAAGCATGCAACTCAACTTTATTTAAATTAAGTACCATATGTACAATACTTTTAGTCTCTACATCAATTTCAGTTTAGCAACAAGTCTGTAAACAGTGTAAACAACTTCGACTCAGCGATAAGCCTAAGGACTTGTAACACTAAAAATTGGGTTTCGATATCAACGGTGGGCACAGCAAAGGTAACCTATTGCGTAGCGTCCAACATAAATAAATAATCTTTATAATTCAACTAGAACACACATGAAAATATGTTGAATTTGTATAATTAATCAAAATGTGAAGCCATTTTAATTTTAAAAAATTGTACAGGCGCCTGCTTCCTTAGATAAATCAGGTTATTATTTAACACCTGTTTCAAATCATTACTTTCCCATTTAATAAGTTACGTTAAAATCTATTTCAACCAATCTTTTGCAACATTTCTGTGGTTGAAAACCTAGTGTTTCAACAATCCTGACATTTTCTATTTTGTAATGGTCGTGTGTAGACATCTAAAATGTTTTGATAACGTATACGAGTAAGCAAAGTACGTAACAGAAAACAATTAATGCACGAAAAGTGAATTCGCATAAATATATTGCGAGTATAGTTATGAATAATGCATGTGTAAAAAATGACGTCAGTAACTTTTCTCTCCCCCCCCCTTTTGCAGTTGTAGAGGCTTTTACTTTGTTTTTATATTCTCGAGAGTTTATAGAACCAAACATCTACACAGAAAGCGTTTTTAAAACGGCAAGTTAGAGGTATCTAGTAGTTTTTGCTGTTTCGGCATTACTTTAAATGTGTTTGAAATATACACACACACACACATAATTACACACACGTATATGATTCTTTCCTTCAGGACGGAGCAATGAGCGTGTTCTGAATGACGTCATACCTTATTCTACATGATGATTGGTTACAGTTTCACGTGACTGTGGGCGATCAACTCGTGAAGTGCCGAGACAGCATGTGTGAAAAACTATAGTAAAAACAAATATCTGAGAAAGATGGCAGAAGAACTTGTGTCCGTTCCAAGTGTGAGTACCGTAACAGAGGCTTGCTCACTCGGTTCTTCGCATGATGAAAGTATTGAACCAGCCAAAAAGAAGCTTCGTACAGAAGGCTTGGGGGAAAACAAAGGAGATCGTCTGGAGCAGAGACTTGGCGGAATTCTGTGTTGCGCAGTCTGTTTGGACCTTCCTCGTTCAGCCATTTATCAGGTTTGGAGTGATCAGCTGATTTCCCCTCCCCCCTTCCGTAGATTTGAATTGTTTTCTTGATGTGTAATCTATCAGTCTTGCCCGGTTTGGGCATAATTTCTTTATTACATTTTTTTTTAGGGACCGTATCGTTGTTTTGCTCCTCAGCAGCAACAACAACCGTCAGCCAAGATTTTTAAAAATGTAATTAAGTAAAATTTTGTAATATTTCAGCGTAAAATAAACAACATAAAATTTCAACAGAGAAAGTGAACGAAAACTATCTGAATTATATAACAATGTGTACTAGTAAAGCATATATTTCTGTGTATTTGTATCGAACATGTGTACCTAAATACAATGGTTTAAAGCAGTATTATTAATAAACAAAAGAAAGTTCATTTTAATTGTGTGTTGTGTCAGTATGTTTTATGTGTAATGCAAATCGTGGTATCTTTGTATTTCGAAAATGCTAACTTTCATAATTAGCCGAGCGTTAACTTTTACTGTTTCAGTACAAATCTTTTTAAATATTCTTCAGTGATGAAAATTGAAAATAAAACATGGAAGTAATACTGACACTCATGAACTTAAGCATAAGACAAATATTCAGAACACCATAGTATGAAGTAATATACCTCATTAAATACTTGACCTTTGACGTTAGTATTGATATTAAAGTAGTAAAAAATGAGAGAACGGGTTTTAGTAGATGAATATGCGACGATATTTGTACTGTTGTATAGTAAATCGTTGAATGTTCAATGATTGAAACATAATTTTTTATGTGTTTCTTATTTAACTCTAAACAAGCATTTAAAATAAATTATTACATAAATATAGCTGTAATTTCATGTTTCATTAATAGGAGTTAAATATTCTGAAAACAGTATCGATTTTTATTTAAAAAATAATATCGACGTGCCTTTGTATCTTTTAAGTTATACTTTAAACTAAGCCTTTACAATAAAATTGTTTAGTACGTATTTATACATATTTGTGACGTATGAGTATGTGATGATTTGCTCGAAAATACTGGAAAAGGAAGGAAAAAATGTCCCCCCCTCTCTTATCCCTCTAACCTGAGCTACAACAAGATATGCAGTTACTTAGCGTTGTCGCAGCAGTGTACGTTGGATTAGTTTTTCCTGGTAGACCGTCAATGTACATGTTTTGCAAAAGCCAAAAAGGAGAACAGCATAGAAACATCGTAGTTCTGCTTGGGAGCTTGCCTTGCCTTTAGGTAGAAACATGAATGGTGATGTAAAATAAAAATGACTTTTTATTTATTAATAAACAGTGGAAATGTACAAGTAATCCGTGGGTTTGTATATTTCATGGAACAAGAAAAATTGCATAACGAAAGCTTCCGAATAATTCAAACTACTTTTATATACATAAAAATAGTCAGCCTCTTAAAACATAATACACTCTTCTTAAATGTGTTTACTTCTAATACTAGGACAAAACATTTGTAATCATATTACACTTTAAACTTCTTAGCTCCTTTCAAAAATGAACTTTTCGCGATTTTTATCTTTATTAATTTAAATTAACTTAAGATATTAATTACAGCAATTACTGTTATTGTTATAAATTAAACTTAAACAATAGTACAGGAAAAATTAGTAACCTGTCGTCAATAATCACCCTGAGCTTACTATCATGAGCTTTTCTAAAGCAGCGACACCTATAAATTTGGAACTGTGTTTTAGTATAAAATTATATATAAATATATATATATTGCATTCAAGTGGAAGTTAAAAGTTCAAAGAAATATATAGGGTTGAGCAATACATTTGGTGGATATTTGTGTGTATTTTTTGAATGATATTATAGTGTTTTAATGGTAATTTAATTTACTAATTAGAAACGTTTGTAACGCACACACGATTGTCGTATTACAAAAGTGATAGAAGTTTCAGATTTAATTGAAATAATAAAGCTAAACGAGTGCGTACTTCTCAACTTTTCTGTCGCATGTTTGGATATTTTCCAGCACTTAATTAGTAGTTGTATTTTACAAGAATTCTGATTTATAGTAAAAAAAAGACTAGGATTTTCTTCAAGCTGACTAAGTATTTATTGGATAATTTAATACCTAGGCAATCTTAAGTTCACTTTTACAGTTACGTAGATAATTGTATACCATAATAAACAAGTACAGTAAAATTCATGAAAAACAAAACAGCTGGGTCAGAAATAGCACACAAAACATTGGCCGGAATGCAATCTTCGCCCTAGGAGATAAAATTCGAATTAGTCCTAAATGGGTTGTCTACCAACGATTCGTGTTTTACATGTATTCGGTATACGCTTTTATCGGTCGAATAATACTTTTTGCAATGATTTTGTCCTTAGAAGTATGTATTGAGCAAGCTTTAATAAAGAAAACAGGTTTATTAATATGTGATATTACTACCTTTTGCATAACTGATTAAGTGTTGATTGAATTTTTAAAAAACTGTTTGCTGTGAAGAAGTATCCTGACAGTGACACTGAGGAAGAAACATCCTAGTTTTGATGTAAAAAAACTGAACACCAAGGCTATGATTTTACGTCAGATAGTCACATCTGTAGGTTTTAAAAAATTGAATTTGAAACTTAACAGCTTTTAATTTAAAACTTAATAGATAATTTACACGTGTGCAAGATGTAATACGTTTTTTTTTTAGATTTGATGTTTTATAAAGTTCATTGTCATATCAGGTAAAATATCTATTAAAATTTTATGTTTTAACGATCTGTAAAATTCTTGTTGATTTTAAACACTATTGTTTGTTTGTATAAACATTGTAAATCTTAACCATTTCAAGTAATGTATTGGATCATGCACAAAGTTTAGACTTGTATAATAGATTTCATAAGTTTTTCTTAGTTCATAATAAAAAAACGTGTTTTTTTACATTTGTTTATGTATTTATTATTTATAAAAGTTGGACTTTTAGTACAAAGATATTGGTAAATGTGGTTTGAATAAACATAAATAGAGAGTTTGAAGATGGCTAAGTTTTAGAGACACGGAAACATTACAAGAAAAGTATGGGATGAAGAGATTCAGCTGACATGGCCAGAAGTTCTGCATGAGTTAGAAGAACATGAGAAATGGGTTTTTAGTAATGAAAACACATTAAGTTACTTTTTCTTTTATCAAAGCTATGTAACTTTACTTAACAGTTATGTCTCAGAATGAGCTCCAGACAGAGAAGCAACTTTATAATGATATAATATGAATAAAACGTTTTTCAGCATTTTCAGTGTTGATAACTGTTATTTTTCCCCCCCTCATAACAACGGGAAAAATTATCTGAAAAACCAACTATTCATGAGTATAAAACTTGTGTTTTTATTATAAAGAACAATTATTTTTTTTTTACTTTGACATGTAATATAAATACTTCAATTGTTAGTCCTAGTGATTAATGCTAACTTACTACATAAGAATTAAGCATCCTACTGTGTTCCTTACACCATATCTTTGTAGATAAAAGAACATAGGTAAAGCAGTTTTTCAAAAAAATTATTGGTTATTGAATCAGTAATGTTATTTGGTGCAGAAAAGTATTTTAAAAGATACTGAAATAAGGCTTAGAAACTGACTAGCTTTAAGACTTTTTAAAAGTTTTTTCCCAGTGACAAATTACCAACTGTCCTAAGAAATTAGCAGTAAAAAAAGGTCTGATTCAGAGTTTAAAGAATTGGTAAGTAAGGGCCAGTTTTCCACATTAACATTATATGCATTTGCAGTATCATTGTTTTTTTTGTGCCTTTACAAGTTCAATTTTTCTTTCATAGACTTGAAGTAAATAAAGCGATGCTGACATTTCTTAGTGACATTATTCAAATTTTACATATCTATGTATGTAAATGAAATAAACATACCTTCATTTTGCTTAACTCATTTTGTTGAAAATCATATTCGTTAACTCTTAAATACTGCGGTGAAAGTTAATAAACAGTGTTAAGATTGATATTATCATATCACCACCTAGCTAATTTATTTATTAAAAATTAGATTTTAGAACTACACTATCAAGTGCTAACATTTTTTATCGAAAAGCTAAAATTAGAAAAAAGAGAGCTGAATTGAGGTTTGTTTACAGCGAACAACTGTCTTTTCACAAATTGTAAGTAGTTTTCAATTATCATGAAGATATGTTTCAGTCTCCTAGATGTAATATTCTCTATTAGTCCTAATTATTATGGTAAAAATTTGACGTATTTTATGTATCATTTATTAAGTTAAAGGTGTTTGATGTTCAAGACAACTTTTCCACTGACAAATATGTGACCTGCACCTGTAGTTATAAAACATCCTTTGTAACCTTGGAATTTAATTTTTATGATAGTACATTTAATGCTGCAGAAAACACAGAAAGAAATGGACGGCCATGCTCCGTTAAATTTTACTTGCTTCTCCAATATCAATATTTAGTTATGTTGAGTGCACTGACAAGACGATGATAATATAAATATATTACGCTTTGTTTTATACTAAGTTTTGAATCTTTATAGTGCTGTCCTACAGATCAGCAACCCTCCTTGTTCAAAGTGCCTACTTTTTAATACAGAGTGTTTTGATGAAGTTTTTTTGCCCTTGCAGGTGGACCTACATGTGAACCAAGATCTTCCTGCTCGACCATTTTGTGCTGGAGGGTTTGGCACCTTAGTTAGATATTTGACATTTTGATAAGTGGAAAGTTTGTGTGGTTGGTTTGTGGGTATATGTAGTTGGTTGTCTTTACCATTTTTATATAATGAAAACAGCCTCTGTCTTTTACTAACTATCCATTGTTGTTGTTTTTTTACAGATCAATGGTATGTATGATATTCGTAGATCTTAAGATACAGGTATTATTAATTTATGTACTTGACCATGCCAATTGTATTTGTGATTCACTAATTATTATTTTTCCATCTGTTGCAGGAATTAGGTAGTAACAATAAACAATATTAATGGAATTACTGACCCTTTCCAGTGCACAAACGGACATTTGATGTGTGCAGGTTGCTTCACGCACCTGCTGGCCGACGCTCGTCTACGGGATGAAACGGCCTCTTGCCCAAACTGCCGTACAGTAATCAGCAAGGAACTCTGTTCTCGAAACCTTGCTGTGGAAAAAGCAGTCAGTGAGCTACCAACTGAGTGCCAGTTTTGTTCTCGGGAACTTCCCAGGTCACAGTTAGAGCACCATGAAGCCGAGCTATGTGAAGAAAGGTGTATAGAATTTTTTTTCTATTTTGAGTACTAGCAATTCCAGTACAATTATGATAATGTACCTAACCAACCAGAAAGTTTGATAATTGTTACAGTTTGTTAAAGTGTTATTCCAAAACTGTTTCATTCATGTAGCTGGCTCATCCTCAGACATATTGAATTCTTTAAATTTCTTATAAACCCTTTGATCCTTAATATTATAAGTGAGTTTTAGAATCACATGCATGTTTCTCAGGCTAAAAAAATCTAATTGTTAGGTAAGTGTGAATGTATAACAATATTTATTTTGAACATAAAGACAGCTGATTAAGTTTTATTGTTTACAGAAAATATGTTTTTGTAGTATTAAGTATAATAATGGCCAATTGGCCATTAGTGACTTGAACCGATGTTAC